TATTCGTTGAAAACTAATTCATTCCATCTGCAATCCCCGTAGACTGCCCAACTTTTAGTACCACACAGAGGCACCGATATCCCTTCTGTTTATGTCGTCTGAATTGCCCTTTTCTTGCTTGCCTATTATTGTGTTTATTTTGATTATACAGTTTTACTAGCAATTTCCTTTATTTCCCCAATCTCTTTCCCTTAGTATTAGCAGTGGAACCCGTGGAAGTTCTATGAATTGATTCGTCTTTCACCCACCTCCTTCATTCCGGTCTTTCTCTCCCTTTCCTGGTCTGCCACCCCATCTCTTCTTCTAATTCACTTCTCCCCTTCCACTTTAATACCTACATCTACTCTCTACCACTTAACTCCTCCTAAAACTCCCCCATCTCCTTATGCCTTTACCCCTATTTTCTATTTTCTCTTGAAGCCCCTTTCCCTATCCCCCCCCCCTCATTTCCTTTCCTTCTTAACCTTCTAATAATACTTGGCATGGACTTTGTGACTCGAGTAGTATTTACGCTCATGAAAAGATTAGCAACGGCCAAATATACAACTACGCGTCTACAAAACCCGTATTGTTTCGCATATCATCCAAAACAAACAAGATGCAACAGTTCCAAAACAGGGTGATACGAACAAGGAGAAACGAGGAAGCTAATCTGCCTTTAATAACAGACCTCCACAGCAAATGCAAGATGATACCAGTAAACACCAGACTCTAGACCTTAGCAAGGAAACGCCTGGGATATACTTTAACCATCCTGGACGAAGAGCTGAGAGAGCGCCCACTTGCGGTAAACGCCCCCCCCCCCCCCCCGCAGAAAAATCACTTCTGGTGGTGGAGAATATCACTATACATCGGAAGCCGAGAGCCGATCCCATACTAAGCAGGAGCAGTCAGTTATCCACCAATTTAAAGAGAGCTTCTTGTACCTGTAAAATTAGTTTCATATCAACTTATAAATAACTGCATTATAAAGCAATATAAATAATCTAGGCTAATGAAAGCAGCAAGTAGGTTTGCCCAACTACTTCACATCTCTCTCCTTCATTTTCCAACTTTCTCTTTCCAAATTTAGCTAGCTTATCCTACAGAGTTTCCCATCTTTCCTACCCTGCTGAAACAATTTCACATGGATAGTCGTGCAAATAAACTGACGGTTAAACTACTCCAGTGTAGTATACTTGCCCCAAAGAAGAAGAATTATAATAATACCAACAACAATAATGATAATAAGAGAGTTAGAATAGGATTCTCATAAATTCCCCTCCTACTTTCCTTCTTATCCTCCCCCTCAGGTGGTCATGTGAATAATAAATGTACATAAACAGTTGGTCTAATTACTTCACTGCAGTGCACTTGCCTCGGAGAAGAATGATAATAACAGAATTCATAATGATAATAATATTTAGTTAAAATTGGTCTAACTACTTTAATGCCATTTACTTGCTTAGAAGAAGAATGATAATATTAATAATAGTAACAACAATGAAATACTGAAAATATAAATGATTAAATACAGTAATTTAAAAGCAAGATGTACTATTTTTGTAGTGTCAGACATACTTGAGCCACAGACACCAAATGAAACTGGTATGGTTGATTATACTTGTTCAATCCTACTTTGGTACTCTGGGTAACTGGTACTTTATCTCCTCTACTACTGAATAGGCTAACAACTTGTTGACTGTTTAATATTAAGGCTTATGATAATTATGGGAGGGTGATTTTCTAGCCAGAGGCACTGAAGACACAAAGAAACAACTTGTTGAGCCCACTGCTTGGGCCAAGGCTCCTGGTCCACCTTGAGAGAGTCAGTTTTACTATGAATGAAAACTGAAGGATATCCTTTCTTTTCCATGTAATGTATTATCTTGAACACATCAAGTTGTTGACTTTTAAGCTGCACTTTCCAGACTCAGAGTGATTAATTTGATGTGAAGATTCTATTGTATAACTGGACTAATGTCATTCCCATGAAGCCAAAGAGCGCTTAGGAGAATTAGACCTGAATATAATTTTAGAAGCTGGTAGTGTGGAATGTGATAAATGAAAAAAAAACTTGTCAAGAATCTCCATAAGGTAGATGATGAAGTGTATTACATAAGAGATCTGATTCAATTGACATCATATTCTTAAGAATTGTGCATTCATGTAGTTCTCTTTGCAACACTGCTAGTTTCTTGTGGTGTACCATGTCTGTATCAAGTTCTTGTTATATTGTCCCTTTAGAGACAAAGAACTATCTTCAGGTTCATGGTTTGGGCATCTTTCATGCAACTGTGGTTGTCAATGGGAAGATTTGTGTGTGTGTGTGTGTGAATAATTATGAGATTGATCGGTAAAATATTTTTCACTTGTTGATGGACAAGAGCAAAAAGATGAATGCTTTGGACTTACATAAGATTTATGTAAAATCTTGATGATTTCCAAAAGAAGCTGAAGTAATTTGGTTAACTTTTGGTCCTGAAATGAAGATATCTACTTTCCATGACAAGTGGGTGTAGTTATAGTCCTGGGGCTGAATTATTGTTGGTGAGGCAGATGAGGAATAAGAGGTAAGTGCTGCAGTTTTTTTACCACATGAGGCTGGATCATGAAAAGATTGTAAAGCTCTAAAGATGCATCCTCAGAGCTTTACAGGGTAGTAGCCAGACTCTCTTGTCTTTTTAGTTGCTTATATATACTGTTTCTTCAGTAGGTTCCATACTTTGATGATGGATCATTTGAAGGTAGTGTTTACACTATTTGCACCTATTTTTTGTATGTTGAATACTGCTGATGATCAAAGCAACCCCTTTAGCACAGGGCATTATTTGTGAGGTACTGATTGGATCTTTTCCCTGCAGGATCCTATAATACAGATTGAAGTAAACATGCTATCTGGAGCAAATGTATTTGTGTTTGATGAAGATGCATCTGTAAAACAGATAAACTTCTCAAAACATTTAGCTTAAATTGATGAAACCCACTGGAAGCAAACTCATCCAATGACTTAAGGTCTAAATGCATCTTGATTGGCACATAATTGGACAGTGACAAGAAAACTGCAAACAAATGGTAAGTCACACTGTAGAGGTGGATTACTCCAAGGGGCTTCCTTGTCATTGGGATGAGGAAAGTTTTTTCTGTTATTAAGTCATGCATCAGAAGTAATTCCTTTTGGAAGAATTCATCTAAGGTGCCTACAACTGGCAGGCCATGTACTGTTCTGACAATTAGAGACAAAATTATACTTTTTCTTTATCACATCTGCTCCTGTCAATGTTGGTGGCTAAGGAGATGATGTCGAATGTCTGTCTCCCCAAGGGTTTCTAAATCTCCTTCATTGGTTTAATCTTTCCAGCCATTACAGGCAGAGCACCTCTTTGAAGGACACTGACCTACAACCATTAGACAGTATCAATCAGTATGGTTAAAAATTCCAAAACTTCATCAGAGAGACAAGACCTTTATCACTATCACCAAGCAGTGGCGTGGTGGCTACTATTTAGCTGGGGGGGCACTAGTCTTTCTGGGCGCCACTTTGAGAACTGCGCCCTTGGTACAAACGTATTTGTACCATTTGGACTGTAGGCTCCTATTTGGAGCGCTGTAGATTTTTTGTACATATTTGTTTTCAGTGAGCTTTTGGTGCCTCTTGGAGAGTTGAGACACCTTTGGCGCCCCCTGCTTTTTCTTCGCTGGGGGGGTACGTGCCCCCCCCCAGCCCCCCGGCCACCATGCCACTGTCACCAAGTATATTAGTCTAATTGAGTTTGAACTCTATTTAATCCATTCGCGCCGGGCGTCACGTATACATGACAGGCTCACTGTGAGTTTACTTGTTTAATTGTTTTCACACATAGATGGCAACACTTGTACTTGTACTGCCTGTCTCGCCTGTTTACCCTTTTCTTTGATTTACGAAATTATTTTGCGTTATTTTATTTTGCTGTTACTAATGTTTATAACATTATAATAATTATAAAGTTTATAATAAAAATAACAATCGATATTCATAACACTAGTAAAAATACATATTCCCGCCAATTCAAGTAAAGGTGAAATCAGGTAAGGCAGAGCCATCTAGTGTAGAGACATTTCATTAAAAAATATAAAAATTGAGCACAGCATTTTCCCCATTTTTTGTTCATCTTTACCTGGCGCGAATGGGTTAAGTCTTATAGCAACAATCACTGATCCACTAAGATATGCATTTGGAATAAAAAATGATAAACATTTCATGGAATTGCTTCATAGATCACATTTCCAATGTCGACCTCCAACTCATTATAAAATTCCTTCATAGTCTCTACAGAAAGTTCTGGACCTCCTCTCATCACATAGGTATTCTTTAAATATACCTCCTCAGGACAAGCTTCACAAAACAACATTCCTTGTTCTTGTTACAACATTACACATTTCTCAGACTCCCTTCCATGCTTCTACTCATTTTCAAGATCTCTAAAGTTTGAAAGGGTAAAAGAAGCAGGTCAGTAATCTTCACACACAACCTTTGTGAGTTGTTGCATGACACTGGATATCCCCTTTGCAAAATGGCTATGCCACCTAACTTAGCATCTTAGTATATGTGTATCAGTAAAGTATTTTTCTTTTGGTTTTATCAGTTTTGCCTCCCCATTCACTTGATGTTCAGCATTTTGACCCCAAAATACAGGGACAAAAAGTAAGACATAATGGATGGAAAACTTTGTCTTTCTGTCCTAGAGGTTTGGTTTCAAGGGTTCCCTCCCATCTCTCTTGACTTTGTTAATTGGGGATGTTTACCACATTTTTGTAGTGATAGAATGTAAAAGATAATAAAAAGAATCAATACTTTGATAAAAATATATAATTAACTCATAGGAAACTCCATACACAAGCCTGTGAATAGCCATTGTTTTCTAGGGTTGTTGTTTTAGATAAGTGATATTTTCCGAAGCACCTTAGGTCACCTTTTAGAGGGTGAGATGCCAGGGCAAATCTTCCTGGGTCTCCAATAAGCACCAGTTTATTTCTGAGAAAATAAAGCACTGAATAAATACATTGTATGCATACATTAGATTAATTAAGTATACTACTAGCAAGTCTATTACAGTTACATTACCTATTCAATATCAAGTAGCCCTTCTCCACATTAGTCACATTTTTCATGATCTGTAAATAATCTTATTAAAAATCCTGTCATATAACACAGAGACTGACATTTTTATCTTTATAGAAAACATGAAAAAGCTTTTATAACATAATAGATTTTAAAAACATGTGAAATAGAATCACCTTTTACGAATACTATCTAACCACAGCAACACTTCATCAGCAAAATCAGTGTCATAGAGCATATCTCCAACTAACACCACGTCATATTCTTCACAGCTGCTTCCTATGAGGTTTTCTGTGGAAGTTTCACTCACTTTTATTTCATTACTTTTCCCATTCAGCTTTACTGCTTCAATACTGACTGAAAAGTATATAATACAATATTAATATTCTCCACAGTGTCACAGGTGGCCAAAATTCAAATATATTTTGTCATTTATAACATACACTGTGTAAGGGGTGCATGCATACATATGTGTGTGTGTGTGTGTGTGTTAACTATCATAAATTATTTCAACCTGATGTATTAATAATTCATGTCTACTTCTAATTTTTGGAGTTAACACTTTGCCTTTAAAACAAGAAATACCCAAGTAGCACAAATGCAAACATATAGGTGTCCAAATTCCTTTTCTTAATTATAGGATTATCTTACACAGTCCTTTTTTTATGTCTAATTATTCTCAGAATCTAATATTTTACCTTTTTTTTTTGGTGGGGGGACCTACATGATTTCTATTTAGCCATACCTTCATCAATGTCGTTAAACATCACCATCTTAGCCTTTGACTTAAGTGCTGCTAACCCACTTGCTCCACAACCACAGCCAAAATCAAGAACTCTCTTGCCCTTTATTAAATATGGGCAGTCTAACACATACCTGTTGGAAATAAAAAGGTCAGCCCATCATGTGATACAAATATCAGCTCTCTTTCTGATGTGTCAATCCTTTTTACCCTTTTTTCAGTACTTGGTAAATAATCATTTTAGCTTAACCTTGCTACCGCCTGACCTCCTGGCCAATAAAAAGCCCAGAAAGGTTCAGGGAAAGGCGAGTCTTCAGGGTGTGCTTTCCAGAGTCGACATGACTGAGTGATGAGGTGAAGGTTCAGTTCAGGTGTGAGGTGGTCTCTGCTTAGCTCTGTTTCTTGGATAATCTTGTCTGCATATGCCTGGAATATATCAATTGTTTTATGTTGAGCAAAAAATTTTAAAGTTTGTCAATTATCTATGATTTACCTTGTGCTCTCCTCTCTCTAACCTATTCTATATGTCTCATATTCTTTCTTCTCTCTCCTTCTCTATAATCTATTCCCCTCTTCCTTCCTCCTCATTTACATATCAATTTGTGTATCAACATAATTATTAAAGATATATATCCATGTGATTTACGAATGTATGAATAATAAGCCAGTTTCATAATAAAGTATAAGTAGTATTACTGCCATCTGTATATCATAATTGAAAAATAATTATTTTTACTAAGTGACAGTGAGATTATGAAGAATCTAGCCTAGTTAACTAAAGCACATGAGAGACAAGATAATTGTTCTCTTATGCATTTTTATGATTAAAAATGTAAAAATATGTACATTTACCTTAGATATTGTCTCGCTGTGTATGGTTCTGAGGGGATTCTCGCTTAGAGGATGTACTTTACTGAGAGGCTTTGTTACATTTCTGTTTGCTATTAGTCTTGAAAAAGACTGGGGCCTCAGCAAGCATTTTGATATTAAACAGTTCATTCTCATATCTGAAAAAAATATATATAATCAAAATATCTTGCTAAAATTAAAACTGGGAAACATATGTAGTCACATATGTTTCTACATATACATATGTAGAAATATATGTATATCCAGATGAGATCCATGCATCCAACACTAGCCTTATGCCTAATGATATAAGCAACAAACCTTAACAATTCATATCCTGGCAAAATAGACCTTATATATTTCTCGGACTATTCACCATACACTAGGGAACATACTTAATAAAAGGTGTTGGCTTTTAAAGGAGCACAAAGCTTGAAGGACATAGCAATCGGCTGATAATATGCCAAAATTGGACTTCTATTTGGTGGTCATTATTCACTAATCTTTAGTCTCAATTGGACTGGGAAAAAACAAAGAAAATATATAAAAGAGACCACTCCATACACTCTTTTTGGACAATATGTAGTATAAGGTAGTGGCAGAGTTGGGTAATAAAACCTAAATGAAATGATAGAACAATACAAACCAAGACAAAGTTCTCCTATAGCAATATGTGTGCAAATACTTCCCAAGGATGCTATACGTAAATGAAAAGAGAAGATCCCCCAATTTTGGCTAAGTCGCTCATCTTGTTTACATTGCGAGCATGAACTCTAGACGCATATACTACCACGGGGGTCCAGGAGGCATAGCACCCTGGCTAGGCATA